CAGGTGAAAATTTGGTTTCAGAATAAACGATCCAAGATCAAGAAGATCATGAAGAACGGGGAGATGCCCCCAGAGCACAGCCCCAGCTCCAGCGACCCCATGGCCTGCAACTCTCCACAGTCGCCTGCCGTTTGGGAACCTCAGGGCTCCTCCCGCTCCCTCAGCCACCATGCCCACTCCCACGCTCACCCTCCAAACTCCAACCCGTCCCCTGCATCCAGCTACCTGGAGAGCTCCGCTTCCTGGTACCCCGCTGCCAACTCCATCAACTCCCACCTCCAACCCCACGGCTCCCTACAGCACCCGTTAGCGCTGGCCTCTGGGACAATTTATTAGAGCCTGACCCCCTTTTTTTTGGAGGGTTGGTTGGTTTTTTTTTTTGGTTGTTGTTGTTCCTTGGACTCCTGTGTTTTGCTGTTAAGGAATAATAACGAAAGGAATGCATATGGGTGATTTTTAAAAGGGAAACAAAACAAAAAGATTAAAATGTGTAAAGCTTGTGCATGTAACTTATTGCATTTCAAAGGAAGCCCTTTTTTATACAATATGGACATTTTTTGGCTCAGCTGTGGACACTATCAATGGTGCCTTGAAATCTATGACCTCAACTTTTCCAGAGACTTTTTTTCAATGTTATTTTAACCCTGTAAATAATTGTAGATAGAGGAATTAAACTGTATATTCTGAATAAAATAAAATTATTTCGACCACGAGAAACGTTTCCAAATTACCCCTTCTTCCATTAATGAGAGCGGGAGGGAATAATAATAATAATGCCAGTTTGTTTGCAGAGGGTGAGCGTGGAAAGAGCGATTTTTGAGGGGCCTGATCCTGGATTCTCACATGCAGTCGCTGTGCCACCGCAACCCCGGCGTGTCAGCAGGATCTGACCCTTATAGGTCCCCATGGGAGAGCCAAGGGGTGAGGATGCTCTGTCCCGGCTGGAAAAGGGGCTTTTGCGGGACCATGTACACCGCACCACACGGTGATTTAAGCTGAAGGGAAAGCTGCCCATCCTAACGCTAGAAAGCAAATCTCTCGCCTTAAGCCGCCCTGAATCCTTTCCTGAGAGCAATTAGCGTCGAGAGCTGCGCACTCCACAGCCCATCAGTCGCCCGTGTGCGCTCGGCTAATTACACAAATTAACGTTTCCATCAAAGGGAGCCACTAAATATAGGAAAAGGATAAAATGAGGGCCCCGCTCCCCTTGCTCCTGGTAAAAGCCTACGGCGGCTCCGGCTGAAGGAGGGACTTGGCGGAGGTACTTTTATTTTTTTTTTTTATCTACACGATTTAGGTAAAAAGCGGAGCCGCCACCGGCGCTGCCCGGTGCTTCAGC